AACGAACATTTATGGAATCAATTATACTTTAATTAAAAAGGACTGTTCTGTCTCCTTTCTTTTCTACCCCCCAAACCCCTTCAAAACCTTATGCGTAAAAGAACTAACACATAGTAGGAACTCAGTAAACGTTGTCAAGTGAATGAATATACCTGACTTGGTCTGAAGTGGGGACCAGGAAAAACTACTTTCTTTCTACTTTTTCAAGGTTAGGACCTGAACACTCATGCTTCCTGGTTTCAAAAAGAAGAAATTGGGTAGAATAAATGACAAGCTACCTGGGTCAGAGGAAGACAAGAGAAAATGGTTAAGTCTAGCCGTGCAACTTCAGACACGTTACTTAAACTGTTTCTGAATCTCAGTTTCCTAGTCAGTAAAAGGAAGATAATAACTACCTTCTAGGAGATCAGATCATTGAATTGAATAGAGTTCTTGTTAGTAAAGAAAAAAAAACACATCTACAACATAATTGAGATAAATAGAAGTGACTTAATCATAAATACATGACTTAAAGATTTGTGGCCCAAAGAGCTTTTAATAATTTTATGCAAAGTTAAATCAGGGCACAAGTAATGTAAGTAAGGCCCTATGAGTGTTCATGACTTGGTGAACTTTTAGATACATTGTTTATTTTTGCTGCAATATCTCTCCTTCCTTCCTTCCTTCCTTCCTTCCTTCCTTCCTTCCTTCCCTCTCTCCCTCCTTTCTTCTTTCTTTCTTTCTTTTCTTTCTTTCCTTCCCACTTTCTTTTTCTCTTTCCTTTCTTCCTCCTTCCTTCCCTTTTTTCTCCCTTCCCTTTTCTTCCCTTCTCTTTCTTTTCTTCTTTCTTTTCTTTCATTTTTTGATACAGGGCTGCCTTGTTGCCCAGGTTGGAGTGCAATGGTGAAATCATGGCTCATTGTAGCTTCCAAATCCTGCGCTCAGGTGATCCTTCCACCTCAGCCTACCAAGTAGCCAAGACTACAGATGTGCACTATCATGCCTGGCTAATTATTTTATTTTTAGTAGAGATGAGGTCTTGCTATGTTTCCCAGGCTGGTTTTGAATTCCTAGCCTCAAGTGATCCTCCTACCTTGGCCTCCCAAAGTTCTAGGATTACAGGTATGAGTCACCACTCCAGATTTGTATTTTTTTTTTTTTTTTTGAGACGGAGTTTCGCTCTTGTTACCCAGGCTGGAGTGCAATGGCGCGATCTCGGCTCACCGCAACCTCCGCCTCCTGGGTTCAGGCAATTCTCCTGCCTCAGCCTCCTGAGTAGCTGGGATTACAGGCACGCACCACCATGCCCAGCTATTTTTTTTTTTGTATTTTTAGTAGAGACGGGGTTTCACCATGTTGACCAAGATGGTCTCGATCTCTTGACCTTGTGATCCACCCGCCTCGGCCTCCCAAAGTGCTGGGATTACAGGCTTGAGCCACCGCGCCCGGCCTCAGATTTGTATTTCTAATAGTATGAGTGTGTGTGGATGCTTATGTGCATGCATGCATACACATGTACATTTAGTAAAAAGCTTCTAAACTAGGACTCCGTTCTATCCCAGTTCTCCCAGTTAGTACCTGGAAAACCTTAGCTAAATGTTTCTTTGGAAGTGTTTGGCTTTCTTATCTGTGGTTGGAAATAATTCTCTCCTAATCTCAGTGAGCGGGTTGTTTTTTTGGTTTTGTTTTCTAAAAATCAAATGAGCTGGTGAATGAGAAAGTGGTCTGCAAACTGCAAAGAGTTATGCACAATAGTAATTATTAGGACTTTCATATATTTTGCTGAATTCAGACTCCGGCTCTTATTAAAAATGCCGACTCCCTTGGTCCTTCTGCTTAGTCATTCATATCCCCTTTTAATCATTTGTACCTCAAAGTAAATTAACAGAGGCTGGGCACGGTGGCTCACGCCTATAATCCCAGCACTTTGGGAGGCCGAGGTGGGTGGATCACGAGGTCAGGAGATCGAGACTATCCTGGTCAACATGGTGAAACCCCGTCTCTACTAAAAATACAAAAATTAGCCAGGCATGGTGGCGCGCGCCTGTAGTCCCAGCTACTCGGGAGGCTGAGGCAGGAGAATTGCTTGAACCCAGGAGGCGGAGGTTGCGGTGAGCTGAGATCGCGCGCTCCAGCCTGGGTAACAAGAACGAAACTCCGTCTCAAAAAAAAAAAAAAAAGTAAATTAGGCCAAGGAGAGTGTAGGAGGGAGTAATTCATAGTATGAAAAATAAGAATTACAACAATAATAATAGCAACATTTATTGAGTATTAACTTTGTGCTGGACTCAGTAGAGACCTCTCCAGAGATGAGGGATGTACAAGAGAAGAAAAGGTAAATTGTGGTTACTCTGGCACAAGCTTGCTAATGGAGGCTGTGATCTTTGCTCATGAGGGGGGTGTGTGTGTGTGTGTGTGTGCACGCGCACCTGCATGTGCTCACATGGGCGTGTGCTTGTTAGAGTGTTGGTTTCCTCATTTCTTCCTCCTCAGGGTGGGGTTGGGGTGAAGACATAGGAAATGGGGGAAACAGGTTCCACTAATCCCAGGTGGTACAATGCAGGAATTTCCAAACTGAGAGATCTGGGTCACAGCCTTGGCTTTGCCAGTGACCCTGCTGTGTGACTTTGGCCAGATTTCACCTCCTCTCTTAGTTTCATCATCTGCTCTGTTGAAATGAGAGGGTTTGCTGAGTCACCCTGGTAATAGACACCTACAGTTTTGCCCCCACCCAGGCCTCCATTCAGTTTCCCTGGCTCTGAAGTCTGGGTAAAATGGGCCAGAAGGAATCTACCCTTCTTTCCAGGCGGGCAGGTAAACCTGACTGCTGTGATTGGCTCCATGAGGGCAAGGGACGCTTTCAGAGCCATAGAGATGACCCATGGCTTTTGTTCTAGGGACAGAACAGATGCTGTTTCCCAGGGGACCCAATCCCAGAAATACTTGGAGCTGGAGCTTCCAGCAGCCTGTTTACTACAATGAGGCATCTGTATGAGCATGGATCCAACACAGCCAAATGTGGAGCAGAGAGAAAGAAACGGAGCCCAGGGGTCATTGCCAGAGCACTTGGACCGAGGTGATCCTGGCCAGACACCTCTGTACTTTTCTCTCATAATCAAATAAACTTGACTGGGGTTGCTGTTCTTTGTTTAAACCTATTTGGCTTGGGATTCTGTCACTTGGAGCTGTGTGGTGACCTTATGCAGTGATTATGGGGCGTATGCAGTGGTTGACATGGCCTTTTCAGTTCAGGAATCCCAAAGCTTTGTGGTTCCTATGATTCTTCCTGGAGTGAGTGGGAATGGCTGCAGGAAACTGGGTCATAAAGCCTTAGCCACAGCTCCCTTGACTCTGCTAGTGTGGTGGGGGCTTGGCCTGGTCCCCACAAGGAGAGGAACTGTTGAGTCCTGTGTCTCGCCGCTCTTTGTGAGTGTAATTATTTCGATACCAAAGTATTAATGGACTTGGCTGTGACATGCTTTCCCAGACCCCACTTGAAGCTGTCACGTTATAAATGGTGGTCTCATTGTATAATCTTCTTAAATCTGAAAATTTAAATACTGAAATACCTCTGGACCCAGTGGTTTCAAATAATGGCTTGCAGACTTGTAGTGATCTCTACTCAAAACTTAAAAACTATCACATAAAATTCCACATTCCTGGTTTTCCTGAAGAGGGAGGAGGCCTGGCATTGCTACATAGCGCCACTGGGATGCACATCTGGGGTGATGAGTGCCTGACACTGAGCTGCCCCCAATCCCTTGGGTGGGGCCCACCTTCTGCATCCTGGCCTGGTCTCCACTGCTGTGCACACGCAGCCCCCGTATTAGTCAAGAATACGGAAGACATAGACAATCCTTCTTCAACAGTGGTGCTGGGGACTGTGGCAGTCCAGGGAGTTTCCGAAAGTGCAGTCACTCCTGGATACCTCTCTCCTTCACATTCCCTAGCCGGGAATACTAGCAACAGGTGCTATGTTCTGTACCAAACACAGTGTGCAGCAGCTCGTATCATTCTCACAACAGTCCTGGGTGAAGGTCATTCCATCCCTTTTCACATGAAAATTCAGAGGGTCAAACACACCGCGTATCTTTTTTTTCTTTCTTTTTTTGACACAGGCTCTAGCTTTGCCACCCAGGCTGGAGTGCAGTGGCACAGTCACAGTTCACGGCAACCTTGACCTCCTGGGCTCAAGCGATCATCCCAGCTCAGCTTCCTGGATAGCTGGGACTACAGCTATGTGCCACTATTCCTGCCTTTTTTTGTTGTTTGTTTGTGGAGACAGAGTCTCACTATGTTGCCCAGGCTGGTCTCAAACTCCATGCAATCCTCCCACCTTCGCCTCTCAAAGTGCTGGGATTATAGTTGTGAGCCACCATGCCTGGTGCCCATAGCATGCATCTTATCCAAGGCCACATCTGTATGGAGAGCTGGGACCAGAGAAGACCCCTGCCCCTGTGAGCTTCTTTTGACCATTATATCTGGGGCAATCTGCAGAGGTGACTGACTGTACCATGGCACCTCATACCCAGTCCCGTTCTGAGAGGAAGGAGGTGGAGAAGAGTGGGTAGACGTAGTAAAAGAAACGTTGTGGAAGCCGAATTTAGAGGACATGGAGAATGTCAAAGTGAGAAGCTGACAGATCATTTGGTTCAACGCTCTTGCTTTCTCCGTGGGGGAAAGTGGGGGAGGTGACAGTTTCAAGGGCACACAGTGGCGCTGAAAGACAGAAGGGTCATTACAGTGGTTGTAATGGTCATTGCAGTAGACCAGATTCTGAGACCTAACATGTGAACCTTGGGCTTCCCCAGTTAGCATCCCTTTCCCCTGAAAGCTTCATTCACTGGCCTAGCCAGGGCAAGGGGAACTCCTGGCCATGTGCCTGTGGGCCTTTGTTCTCTCTTCCTGCTCCTCCAGAATAACTTCCCCTTGGGTAATCTTTCCATTACACTGTTCCTCTTTGGACTTTCAGAAATAAAAACCCAGCCCCCCTGGTGTGCAGTCACACTAACGCCCTGAGGAGTGTTAAACTTCAGCTCGAGAGGCACTTAGTGTCACAGAAGCCTAGATAAAGAAACAAGATTTCAAGCAGGAAGAAATAATAAAATAAAGAGGCCGGACTTCAAGTGTCCTGTGAAACAGAGCATTCGGCCTCCGGCATACACATCCGTGGGAGACGGCTCAACTTCTTTATAAAGTGGTGAGTTTTGTGTGAGCACAGATGCACTTTGTTTTCCTATGAGAAATCAATGATTAAATTATCAGAAAGCAAGCTAAAAACCAGGCTGCCTGAATATTCCCCCACACGTCCCCTGTGTCTCCCCAGCAGCTCCTGCTCAGGAGGTATGGGCTTTCTCTCCAAAGCTTTAGTTTAAATGTCCAACACATCTTATTAATGAAAGTAATAAGCTGTTGTTTATTATATGCCATGATGGGGAATATGACTATTTAATATAAATCTGACATTTAAATTCCACTTAATTCTGAGATGTGGACGATATCAAGGCATAACTCTTTACCCTGGAGTAAAAACTCCCTGGGTCTGCATTTTAAAGCATTGAAGTTTTCAAAGTAATCAGGTTCCTTTTTTTTTTTTTTTTTCCAGAGGAACCAAATTGTGAAGACATCTGTTCTGTTATTAATTTCACATACATCTTAAGCTCCTCAAGGCCAGAAATGAGGCTTCATTCACGTCGAATTAATGAAACATGATTGTAAGTCCCTTGCATGGAAATGCTGTCACATAGTTCTGAGCTGCTTATAAGCACTGAGTAATCTCTGAAACTGCCAGGGGACGGCCATTTGAAATCTGCCCTCCCCTCCCCCTGCCACCCAAAAACAATATCTGAAAATATCACAACACTAACTATATCCTGAAAGATTAATAGCAGATAAAAATTTCTGGGAAATGAATCAGACTTTCTCAGTAAAGGATACGGAGAGCTCAGGAAAAAGCAGATTGCAAAGTGAAAGAGCTCTTTGGGATACAGTTTAATAACTGTGCCCCAGGCTGCCCCTGAATACATCTAAAAGGACGATGGCAGGCCGGGAGGGGGGTGGGGGAGTCTTGGAATTTCTTGCAGAGATGTCTTTTGAGGGTATGTGGGAGAATGTACTGGAGGTGACACAGATTTGAAACTGGGAGAATGTGTATGTATATGGAATCTGTGTGTAAATGCACGCAGGAATTTGTGAGTCTACTGACGTATGGGTGAGTGTGTCTATATCAGCGTATGAGTTTATGCAGGTAAGAGTGTGAAAATGTGTGTGTTGTGAGTTTGTGTTGGTGAATGTGTATGAGGGCATGTGTGCATGAACATGGGTGAGTTTGCATGTGTGAAAATGTGTCTGTTGTGAGTTTGTGTTGGTGAGTAGGCATGAGGTTATGTGTGTAGGAATATAGGTGAGTTTGCATGTGTGAAAATATGTGTGTTGTGAATGTGTACGAAGGTATGCATGTATGAATATGGGTGAGTTTGCATGTGTGGATACGTGTGTGTTGTGAGTTTTCGTTGTCGAGTCGGCATGAGGTTATGCGTGTATGAATATAGACGAGTTTGCATGTGTGAAAATACGTGTTTTGAGTTTTCACTGGTGAGTGGACATGAGTGCACTGTGTATGAATATGGGTGAGTTGGTATGTGAAAATAATTGTGTGTGTCTATGGATGCATATGAAAGGGTGTGTGTGTGTGTGTGTGTGTGTGTGTGATGAGTGTATGCATTGACACACACAGACCTCTCAGGACAGACATGAATCTGTCAGTCGGGGATGGATCTTAAATAGCACCTCAGCACCATTCCGTGCCCATCTGAGCCAGTCTTGAAAGGAGATTGCTCTTGAGGTTTTGGGTTTGGGGGGCCTGTTTTTTTTTTTTTTTTTTTTTTTTGTCAAACAACTGAAAATGCCAGCAGAAAGATTGTCTGGAGGGAGGTATGGGAGGGGGAGCCTGAGATTTCTTAATCAAACTTTCAAGTGTTATTTTTGGTCTTCCGCTGAGCTGGGACCCAAAAAAAATCTGCATATGATATTTACATCTCAAATCTTCAGAGCCTCATTAGCTTTGATAGTTATATATTTATTTATTTGCGAAAAGGAATTTAAATCAAACAGAGAGGCACAAAAGCAAAACCTTTGAATGTGGTGCAAAATTAATTAAAACAGGCAGCCGAAGGGTAGAGTGGAATACGATGGAATTCAGGAAAAAAAAGACAATGAAACTAACTAGACTCTGATGGGAAGATCCTTCCTCATTTGGTGATCATCCATTGGCAATTAATATCACAAATATTGATGTTTGAAGAAAAATGCCGGAATTTTAACGCCTGTTTTTCCAGAAGCTTTTTAAAAAAATTTCTTTAGATTCTCATCTTCTAAACAAAATCAGTCAAATTATTGGATGGTGTATTTGACAGTCATGTGATGCTGACGGCTGGGGCTGTGTTCTGAGAAATGCATCATGAGGCTATTTCATTATTGTGCTGACCTCATGGAGTGTACTCATACAAACCTAGTTGGTATAAGCTATATTGTATAGTTTTTGCTCCTAGGCTACAAACGTGTATAGCCTGTGCCACACTGAATACTGTAGGCAATTGTAAAACCATGGTAAGCATTTGTATATGTAAACATAGAAAAGATACAGTAAAATTATGGTATAAAAGATAGAAAATGGTACACCTGTAGAGGGAACTCGCTGTGAATGGAATTTGCAGGGCTGGAAGTTGCTCTTGGCGAGTCAGTGAGTGAGTGGTGAGTGAACGTGAAGCCCAGGACATTACTGAACACTACTGTAGACTTTATGAACACTGGACACTTAGGCCATGCTAACTTTATAAAAAGTAACGTAATCGCACTACGATGTTGCAGTGGCCACAGTGTCACCAGGTGACATGAATTTTTTAGCTCTATGATAATCTTATGGAAGCAACATCATATGTGTGGCCTGTGGTTGACCAAAACATCATTACCCAGTGCATGACGATATTGTGTTTTGGGGGAAACAGACTTGCCCAGGCGTCCCCAAACTACGGCCCCCCTGAGGCCGTTTATCCGGCCCGCCCGTCGCACTTCAGGAAGGGGCACCTCTTTCATTGGTGGTCAGTGAGAGGAGCACAGTATGTGGCGGCCCTCCAACGGTCTGAGGGACAGTGAACTGGCCCCTGTGTAAAAAGTTTGGGGATGCCTGGACTAGCCTATACCAGCAACTGGTTAGCTCCCAACACCTGTCCTGAAAATCATGTGCAGGTAGATCAAATTCAACTGTCAGAGGATAAAGATACATCTTAATACAGGGGATGCTGAACTCCAGCAGTTAGCACTAACCCAGTGGTGGAAGCAATTTGTATATATGACTAGATACGATCCCAGCTACATTTTCGCCCCTGTATATTTTGAGGCTTTGTTGTATGATCCACGCTTTGTAAATCTGTGAAAAACATTTCCAGGCATCCAGTTGAAAAACCCTTGACCAACAATGTAAAAATGACTCCTGGCATTGCCTAAGCGTAAGGCAGCATCAAGGGGTCTGGCTTCCTTGTCAGAAGTTCTTTTGAATGAAGTGATCAGTTCGTATTTATGCTTTTTGTCCTTCTGTATTATGCAACAGCACAAATGCACAACTGCCCCAGTGGGACAATCTAATGCATAGTCAGCCTGTCACACAGTTTTAAAGTTGGATGCGTGTGTCTTTGGCACGTCCCAGATCTCCTTTCAACTTCTTTCAGAATCTCTTTTTTACCACCCTGCTTGAGGTTCTCGGGATGACCTTGGGTCATTTCTAGCTTAAAGAGAGTGGGCTTTCAGAAATACCTTGATAAGCATAAGTGTTAGTTCAATTTTTAAAGATGGCTAAAATGCTAATGGTGAAATTTCAGGCTTTGTGGCAGTTGAGTGAAAGGAATATTTTTGAGCAAAAGATCTTTCCAACAATTCCTCAAACCAACAATGCATAAAGGTGGACTTGTTAAGATAGGCAAGTCAGGAAATTATGCCTGATCTCAGTTTTCCTCCATGTAAAGAGGAAGAAACTGAACTGGAAGTTGAATGATCTTTAAGATGTATTAAAGCCTGTATAATTAATGGTTATAACCCTTTGAGAGAGATAAAGGGAGAGCAAGAATGGGGGGTGGGGAGAGAGAGAGAGAGAGAGAGAGAGAGAGAGAGAGAGAGAGAATGATTTGTCATGTGCGCAAAAAAAAAAAAAAAAAACCAAAGTCAAGGCTCTTCCTTATAAGTAGCACAGGGATTCATTCATTCATTCATTCATTCATTCATTCATTCATTCATTTTGTATGTGTGTGAGAGATCTCTGGGTCAGACCCTATATCACAGTTCTTTCACATTATTTCACCTACATCTTAAAACAACCTTTGAGGTGGGTATTCCTAACAGGAGTGGTTGTCAATTTATTTAACTATCAATAAGCCACAGATACTTGCCAGTCAGAAAGAACACTGAGTAAAACACTAGAACAGGATTCTTGAGATCCCTGGCTGTGCCAGGTATTTGTTGCTGGATGAGAAAAGTGGTGGGGAGGAGCCAGGGTATCTGGCACAATAAAAGGGAGATTGGGAATGTATTTGCCAACTAGCCTGGGCAATGCTTTAATTTTTAAACTACTGACAAGGATTTTGTACTATTGGATATGGTTAAACATCAACCCAGATTTACATTCTCCCCATTCGGCAGAGGACAAAGCTGAGGCCCTGGGAGGCCGAGAAACCTTCTCGAGATCAACCCATCAAAAAGTGACAGGCTTGAGTAGAAAGCTACTTTAAGTCTTTAAGACTCCAAAGTTGACGTTCTCAACCATTATGCTGACTGTCTAAGATGACCATAGTCTGTGCCAAGCTGGCCTGGCATTTCTTTACAGAGGACCAGAGGAAAGTGGATCTGGAGGAAAGCTCTGGTTTGAGTGGGAGTATAGTTGGCAGATTTAGTAAATAAAAATACAGGACACTCAGTTAAATTTGAATTTCAGATAAACAGCAAATGAGGCTTTTGTATATTTTTAGCTTATTGCATGGGATATACTTACATTAAAAATTATTCATTATTAATCTGATGTTCAAATTTAACTGGACATCTTGTGTTTTATCTGGCAACACGAAGTGTAGAGGGAGGACCACAGGGACACTAAAACATTTCAAATACCAAGACATTTCAATCTGCAGACACATTTTCTTTTCTAAGAACTCTCTTTTGCAAAGCCAATGATCTCAGCTGTAGTAAGAACACTTCTCACCTTTCTCTGAGTACCTCCTTGATTTTAATGTCATAGGGATTCAAGACAGAGGCCATTTAAACCAATACCTTGCCTTACTGTCTTTCTGCCTCTTTCTGTCCCCTCTCTGTACAAGAAGGCAGAACCCACAGTACCGGCGCTGTGGCTTGGCTTTGAAGCCAAGGAGCACAGTCCAAGAGGCGTGTCCTCATCTCCAAAGCACATGGAAACTATTCCCTTCCTGAAGGTCTTCATGGTTAGCCTGCTGCAAGCCCCATGGCTTTTCAGCTGCAGTTGTAATTTCTGTAGCGCCTCTATCTCAGCTCAGCTGATATTTATTAGAACATGTTGCTTTTGAAAAGAAAACTGCATCTTAATTAAAGGTTGGAAATCCACAGCCTGTTTGCAGATGAGAAAAATTAAGCAACTCCTATGAACAGGGCAGTGTGTCTCCTCTGTTGGTTAGAACATTGCTGTCTAGACAGGTGG